TTTTTCTTTTTTGGAGAGGTTTTTGCTATAGGGAGTGTGCGTTCACCAGAAAGACAGAGAGAGACAGAGAGACAGAAAGCAAGAAATCACCCCAGGAGAAATGGCCACGCCGCAATCCCTTCTCCTCCATTCTCCTCTCGGGATCTTGGGCACACATGCACATGTGCCCAGTGTGAGCTTAAGCCACCGGGTCCAGGATTCAAATAGTGGTTGACTACATGGAGGTCCAGTGACATAGTCATCATGCCAACTGATGGTCCTGTACCTGGCATGTTTTCCTAGCCACTGGGTCCAGGACTCGAACTGCAAAATTGGCCATGTGTGATCCCTCTATCTGCCTTAACCACCATGCCACTGGCTGGCCTGTTAAATTTTTGTGTATATATTGTTTTTCAGTTATATCCAGTTATCTAGTGATGGACATCAAAGTGGCCTCAATTTTTTGCCACCACAAAACATTCTGCAATGGGAATTCCTCTTTTTTTTTGAGAGGTTTTTGCTGCAGGGAATGTGCACTTGCCAGACAGACAAAGACAGACAGAGAGACAGAAAGCGAGAAATCACACCCCAGGGGGGATGGCCACGCCACAATCCCTTCTCCTCCATTCTCCTCTCAGGATCTTGGGCACGCACACACATGCACCGGATGTGAGTTTAAGCCACTGGGTCCAGGACTTGAACCGCTGTCGACTACATGGGAGTCCAGCGACATAGCCATTACGCTAACTGCTGGTCCCTGCAATGGGAATTCTTATATCAGCAAAATGTTTTATCAAGTTTTTAGAGGAAGCATATTCATTTACACTGGAGAAAACACATATTACATTGAAGTTTTCAAGCATTTTAAAAAACTGGCTATTTATATATTTTTGGCTTTCAGAAAAATACCTTTCAAAAAAACACGGACATACCTGTATTACCAAAATGTTTAAAATAATTTCTTTAGAATCACCATATACTTTAGCACATTGTGGACCTGCTTATAACATTGAAATTTCTATACATCTTAAAACATTGGCTCTTTATATAGTAATCCGTTTAAAAATGAAATATTTACATTTTCACTGTAAGTTAGAAAATATCTTTAAATCTCAGTTACCTTATGTATAAATGTCACGCAAATGTCCACAAGGTCATGAGGATTTAATGAGATGATGCATTTAAAGAACTTGGATGGACAAGTATTTGCAAACACTCAAGTCAAGCTATGTTCACCATCAAACCCATCACATTCCCTTATTTGGTATTCCTGGATGTTCTAGAACAAAGTTTTTAAAAGTTTATTTCATGAGTGAGAGGGACAAAGACAGAGACAAGATACAGAAATGTAATAAGAGTCAGATGCTGTGAGCCATCATCAGCTTCTGCCATACAGGATCATGTGCACACCTGTGCCTGACATGCTCAGGGAGGTCTCTGAGCTGCTGTGAACCAACAACCTTCCTGTGCGAGTCTGCCAAAAGAGCATCACATTTTACTGCTGTGCCACTATGTAGCCCCTGTTTTCAAAATGAATTAATTCACTTGCTTAAGATATCATATTCCTGGGGCCAACAGATGACATGGTAGTTAAGGCACTGGACTCCCACATGGTTGACTGTGTTTTGAGTCCCAGACCTGGCAGCTTGAAAATCCTCCCAGACCCTCCATCTTTCCCCACTCTCTTCCCACACTGTCGCCAGTATCCAGAACCATTTTCCATGTTTCTATATCCTCTAATCTTTCAGTTTCTGTCATAGAGTGCAGTCAGTATGTATTAAGAGGAGCCATACAATTTCTCTTTCATAGCCTGACTTTACGCTCAGCAGTAAATCTTCCACATTCATCCACTTTCTATCACATGTCAGCAACTTGCTGTAAAAGGAAAAGAAACAAAGCTAAAGGAAGAAATAAAGAAAAGAAAGAAAGGGACAAAAAGAAAGAAAGAAAGGGAGGAAGAAAGAAAAATAAAAAGAAAATCCTGCCAGGTGCGTGTGAATGTGTGCCCCAAATCCTAGGTGGAGAAAGAAGGAGAAGAGTTTGAGGGAAGGCCATCCCCCCCATGGTGGAAATTTTCTCACTTTCCCTCTCAGTGTCTCTCTCTCCAGGAAGTGGATCGACCCTACGGCAAAAGAAAAAAGAAAAAGGAAAAAAGGAAAACAATCGTATTCATCCAAGTTCATGATTTTACAAGATTTTATGGAATGAATATTTATGCATTAAATTATTTGAGTGAATCGGTAATTAGGATTAGTGATAGATGATATTAAAAACTTGCTATTGTCAGGCATATACTAAACGTCTCACTAAATCCCTCTGTAAGGGATTTATGTGTACTATTGCCATTTTACATAGTGCCTCATGAGGCTCAGAGCAGTGAAGTGATTTACTCAAGGTCACTAAGGAAATGGATAGTAACCAGGGTTTGACCCTAGTCTCCTCATTTTGGTAAAGATGTGTGTGCGTGTGTATCACAATTAGAACTATATTTTCCTCACTTGATAATTTTCTATGTGAACTATTCCCTCTCTCCACCAACCACACAACTGACAAACTTTCTTGTTCCATGTCTGAAATCTATCTGTAAGGTTTTAAAAGAGGTGACCTATCTTCCTGTGTTTTACAAATAGTAAGATTTGAGAATTTGTTGGTTACAATCAGGTGGAAAAAAATTCGGCCCTGCGTAGCTAGGCTGTATCTGGTGTGTGGAGCTGTGGTGGTGCAGAGAACAATGCCCTGGACTTGAGACAGAAGATGTGAATTTGATTTGTCCTCCATTATTTGCTCGTGAGCTGATTCTTGATGCTTTATGAATAGCAAGTGAAATACTATGTCTACAGCTCAGCATTCAAAAATGAGTCATTTGTGAAAGGACTGCTTGAGGAATGCAAAATTTTAAAAAGTTAGTGGAAATTTGGATGAATTCTTTGAGATTGAGCCCTCCAGATCACAGATGTGAGGATCACCTAGCCTGATGACTAGAAAAAAAAATGTTTGGGATATAAGGATCATGGAGAATACAGGTCAAAACCACTGGGTGAGTAGATGAGGCCGGGAATACCATATTATTTTTTCTTTTCTACTGATAGGATTTGCTTTTTCCAAAACATGTGGTACAGATAGTATAGAGGTCAAGCTGGATGGACATAAAACCAACGTCAGATTAAGGTTTACATTGGACCCCTATCCTGTCTTAATCTAGGAAATACTTGAAACTATAGTAGTGGACAGAGTCAGTCTCAACTAGGTAGGAGTGACCAATGAATGGCCAGCTTACCAAAGCTCACCTCCATATCAGAGGCTCTTCTTTGCATCTAGGTTTTTCTCCATCTCTTCCACACAACATCTGGAAATTAGTTTCACATCTGTTTCTCAGACAGAGATAAGCTTCCTCATGATTTTTCCTTGAACTTCTGTGCTGATTAGAAGGCCACAAAAGGAGAGAGAAACTGACACATTGCCTTAAAAGAATAACATATTTCACTTCTTTGGCCTCAATTTTCCATTGCTTTTCTGACTTCTGGTCCCCAATATGATACTGTCGTTCCCAGCTCCCCTTTCAGAAGGCAAAAATGCCGAGTCAAGTGACAAGGACTCTTGATTGTGTAAGCCTAGTCAGCTTTGGATGAGTTTGAGCTCTGCTCTCCTGGCCTCTGGGGCCATTCATAGACTGAGGGAGTGGGAGTTGTGGTTTACTGACATCTCAGGGGAGTTTGTCCTGTGATCTTTCTAATTGGAGCAAGAATGGGAATCACAGTGAGCAGAGCTACCTCACAGGAGACAGGGAACCCATGAAGCTTCCTGTTTAGATGGGGCTAATTTCAGAGCCTCTTACCTTTACTTCAACTCTCAAGGGCATGCTTCATTTACCTGAGAGATGGTTGCCACAAGTGGATAATACCTATGTAGACAAATATTTTTGATTGGCAATTCTAATGAGTGTAGTGGTATCTCATTGTGGTCTTAATTTGAATTTTTCTGATGACAGATGAAGTAGAGCATCTTTTTAAATGCTTATTATTATTTTTTTTATCTAGTGTAGTCTTTTTTTTTTACATTTTTTTCTTTCTTTATTTACATTCATTCACTGTACATCATTATAGCATACAAAGTGAGATTTTTCCATTGAGAATACAATGTATATTGGCTCAATCAAGC